CACTTAGGCAGAATTACAGCATAAAGGGGCTTTGTTATATTAAGTAAATTGCAGTGTTGAAATGAAGCCCAGAAAACATATAAAATGTATTTGACTAAATATTTCATACATTCACTGTGTCAGCAGCATTCACTAGTATTTCCCATACTTCACAACTTGAAAATGATATGTGATAGGCATGCCATTGCACAAAGACATAAATAAACCAGTCAAAGCTCTGGAGATGCAGTGGCAAAGGCAGGATGCTTCAAATTGAAACCGTCATGTTAAAATTAAAATTTAGAATGTTTAATATGTTTGTTGATGATGTTTGACCCCATAATGTTTCATAAGTATGTATTTAGGTTGTAATCAGGTTCAAAATATGTGAAGCTATAAATAACACAGACTTGTTTAAAGAGCAAAAAATAAATTAAAATTTCCTATTAAACCAATGCTATTTTCTCCAGATTCATAGTTGTTGTTTCTGATCCTAAGGCAATTTACGTTAACCTTCTTTTTTCTACTTACTTTGTTACTAATACTGCGTCTGAAAATATGTGGTTTATATTTATCCTCAGACCAGTCTTATGAAATACTGTTACCCTCCTCATTTTTTTCAGATAGGAAAGAGAAAGCTCAAATGACTCTCAGCCTTATTGCTTAACCACCTTCCTCTTCAACCTCTCCTTAAGCCCAGTTCTATTGCTTGATATTTGTCTTCTTTGACACATTTATTATTTCCCTCCAATAATGTTTTTAAAAGAAATAATATATAAACTCATTGATACTATCTTTTTTTAAATTACAGAAATCTATTATGATGACTTTTTCACTTACATTAAGTTGAATTTTAAAGACAAGACTTGCAAATAGTGAGAATAAATGAAAAATACAGAGATGCAATGTTTCATAGAGGTATTTATCTTCTGGGAAATGTTAAAAAGATCACAATCTAAAATGGCATTTTTATAGCTATGCTCTCTAAAGTAAAACAAGTGTCATAGAAAATTTCTGTGATAGTAAGTTATGAAACTCGGGCCATTATCATTTATTCCTGCATTTATACTTCAGTTTTATTCATGTTTGATTAACTTCAGCTGGTTAACATCAGCTTTAGTGCTATCTTATTTAGACTTATTTTTTTACACATTGTAAATTTTTATTCTTTTGAGATTGCATAATAAGTTTTTACTGGCAGCTCTTGAAAGAAGTAATTTATAGGGCTACAAAGGTATGAGTATTTCCTCAGCATGCCTCCCTCATATGTGTAGTCATAACACAGGAAATCTACAGCTCTTAACCCCTCATTTTATACACTTGAACAACAGTGGGGGCAGAAGTTACATCAGGAGTGTTTTCAGTGGAAGTTGAACGGCAGAAGATCAAAGCTGGCATTAGAGAGGAAATCAGGTGTTAAAATTCCAATGCCATGTTGTCATCCTGGTGCAGAGGTTAGATAGACAACTGCTGCTGAGTACAACTGTTCAGATGCTGGTGTGTGAAAACTATCTGAACTGAGATTCTTTAAAAAAGATTGCCAAACCTAACATCATCTCCTGATTGTAAGGAGGAGGATACTCAACATTTATGTAGGTGAACCATTTATGCAGGATGAATTGTTCTTTTTCCTTCTCTCCTCAGGACAGGCCAACTGACAAGATCTAATGGTTCATTGCTGCCTCTAAACCAATTCAGCTCAGTAAACCTGCAGAATCCTTCTCCTTTTAGTTAGGTGTTTTTGGGGTTTTCTTTGTCCAAATTAACAAACTGAACTGAATTCACCGAGTCAGATAGGCACCTAAATTAACAGAAAGGAAGATGAAGGGGCTTGCAGTCCAGCCTGGGGACAGGGGAGGGTGATAGAGCTGGCTGTTAAGACACTCAGAAATGCATTTTTCATGCTCAACACCATACCACAGGTAGTGGGGATACATGTTATTCTTGAGGCTAACACTTTTTTTCACAGTAATTTCAAGCCTGACAATCCAACTAGATTTCTAAATGTTACATACAAAAAAACCAAACAAGGTGGGTAGGGGGCAGAGAAGGGAGGGGGAGGGAAAACCAGGAGATTTTTAAGAATGCAGATTGTTCAGATGATAAAAATAGAGTTGCTGACACTCTCCTATAGATAACAAAACAGCAAAAAATAATACAGTGTAAATAGAAAGACCATAATTGTTTTTAATTAACTTGTTATGTTGAAACTAAGCTCACTAACAAAACACTGCAATATTGCCCTCTCTCACGCAAAACAACTACAAAACAGAATTATCATCTGTATTACAATGATTCATCAAAAAAACAAAGACTGAAAAAAGTGAATATATACAGATAACAATTTCCCAGAAAAGAATTTAAATTTAAATACAAGCATTAACCCAAACTTGTTATTGTCCCAAACAAAGTAAGCATAAAACAATATCACTCTGCCAGTGTAATGTTTCAAACTTAATCAAGAAAACCACCTGAGCTAAAACTAGATCACTGTCTACTTTGCTGTAATATTTGAATAAAATCCAGTCTGCTTTGATCTCAGTAAAACCAACAACCAACTCGAATCCACACCTATGTCAGCGACTATTGATGTCATATTTCAGGTCTTTCTTCCATGTTATAATATGAAGGGATTATTGAAAGGATTATTTGAAAGGAAAATGAGCAGAAGATGAAAGTGTGCACATGACTGCCTGTCTAAACTGATAGGGCTTCTCCTGCTCGAGGTGACAATGAGGCAGATTTGGTGCTCTATGAGCTGCCACAGAACAATTTTGCTTCCAGTCCATGCACTAATGGGAAGAATTAGTTTCCTTCTCAAGTCTCTCTTTTATTAACATAGTTATCCAGCATGTTACTTAGCTTGAGCAAAAGATTTCTCAACATAAAAATGAATTTATTGTTTAGCATTCAGAAACAGAATTTTTATGTTCAGAGACGTCCATAAATGGAGTAAACTTGGCCTGTGGCTGCCTGTAATACCTTTATCTGATAAGTCTCTGCTGGCAGAAACTAATTTCACTTTTTTTCTTCTGCCAGAATTTGTTTCTGGGGTGGTTTTTTTTGTGAGTTCTGTGGGTTATTTTTTTCCTTTTTTTCTTCTTATTAAGGCATATATGCATTATGAAAACTAATCATTATCTATATAGTTCATCAAGGTCGCTCCAGTAAAAAAATTCACTGAATGACACTTATGGCAGCTAAATCCCTGATTTATAATATGCTTTTACTTGCATTTCAATTTCAGATTTTATGGAAAAAATATACATAGGTATTGGTGAAACTGTTGGAATTAGATACTGGAGAAGCAATTATACTTAATAAAAGCTATGTAACACATACTTAGTCTATTTGATATCTTCAGATTTTATTTTGAATATGAATACAACTCAGATGTTGCAGATGACATAGATGACCCCTTAAACATTCATTACCCTGTCAGGCAGGAGCAGCAGAGCTTCTAAATTCAAGCTAACATTAGCTTATTAGCTGAAGGATAAAACCAGGTTTTTCGGCCTGTTTTACACAGCCCACAGTTTCCATGCAGCCTAGAGCAGCCTTTGTGGGCCTGTATTTATCTGCCTCTGCAGATCACAGTGCAGCCTCGTCCAGGAGCCAAGTGCATCGTACACTGTGTGGCTGATGAGTCATTTCTATTTCTCAGCCTGCTCTCGGAGTTTGATATTACGTACCATATGGCCACAGCCTTCATAAATGAGGTTTCAAGGAAGTCATCCGATGGCAGAATGGAAATGTCTTTGCTAAGCAGCAAAGCTGATAATTGACAGGAAGAGCTGAAAGTGATGGTTCTGTGAAAGAGAAATCCTGTGTGATCCTGGTCTAAGTGCTTACTATGGCAGCATGAAAGCGTTCTAATTTCTCTTACTGGTGTGGACACTTTAAAGGAAAAAATATTTATAATTATGTTGTTTCCTGCTTTTTGACTATTATTCAATCACTTTTTGCACAATAGAATTAAGTTTTTTTTGCCAGCCCTTCTACTACTTCACATGCACTTACGTTTATTCCATCTTGTGTTAGGCTTTCCAGCAATTGCTCCTGTATCCCTAAACTTATTGTAATCTTAATTGTGAACTCTCCTGTTCCTGTGTTTTTTGGCCAAATTTTGTCATCTCAGCTACTGTGCAAATGCTCCTACTTTGTCTACTTTTATGGAAAAACTCATCTATCTTTCTCTACAAACCACCAAAAAATTACTTTTTTATGGCTTCTCAACTCAGATTTTTCTTACAGACATGCAGAGTCTGAGAGGAACATTCAACATAAGAGACTTGTGTGGAAATCTAAGCATTTTTCAAGTTTATTTTTCAGTGAATAGAAGAAGATAGACTTCTCTGAGGAATAATTAGGAGAAGTTGAACAGTGGTGTCTAAGGTTGCTCTTTGCAAGAGTCTTTGTCATATGACTGTGAAGATATTTTGACACTCGTGGATTTTGGGGGTATAGGACCATGAGGAAAGTCACTGGATTGGTCACTGGAAGTCACTGGAAATGGTGTGATTACCCTCAATTCTCTTTCCAGGGAAGAAGATACATGGCAATCTGCGAAGAAAAGCATGCAGACCAGGTTCCCTGGCCTCCTCACATATTTTCTTTTTGGCGAATATAAAGATATTTTCAAAGTGCAGTTGCAAGGTAGCTTTCCAGAACAATTATTAAAGACCAACTCTACCTCTAAGCACACAGGGAAAACTTTTTTCCTTACCGTCTTAAAAAACTCCAAACTTTTCACTAGTAGTCACTTTAAACATAACTTGTGCAAATTTGAAATTCTGAACTACTAATATTAAAATAGGTCTTTTTGAACTCACATTGTATTGCTGCTTATCATAAGGCAGGGAAAATAATTTCTTTCAGGCATTAAGAAAAACTGAACACATATGCTGTCACCTAGCTAGTATCACTGCTGCAGCTGAATCCACAGACTGCTGTTACTCCATCATTCTTTGGTTTGTTACCAATTTTTGTAAGTTTAAAGATTTTTAGTGAAAGGACCTTACCCTTGCCTTCTGCTCCATTTCCATCATTAATCTTTCATGTTGCTCTGCTATTGCCAGTGTTGCAGAATGGACTTTCTGATATATCATTTCTCCTTCTCGTGTTTGAAACGTGAACAGCCCTTCTCCTGTGTCACACATCCTGCAGGGAGATTTCGGCAAAATGGAAAGAAAAAAAAATGAGTACTGTGAAATTTTTCCTAACTACTATAAAAAGTACACATCTTACCATGGAAAATGTCAACTTCTGTAGTTAAACTATGAAATTCCAAACATTTGCAGTTATTCTTATAATTGGAGACAGAAAAATTCCAGGAGATGGGCAGAACTTCATGAATGTAATCTTTAAATTCAGTTTTAGTCATTGTCTGGATAGTGAAAAACAAGCTTTAGCATGGAATAAAAACTTGAGGTAATAGAGTCAGTTATTACCACCATTTTTCCAAATGTCTGTATTGGTGAGTGGGAAATAAATTTAATTATTTTAATCAATTGATGCCAGAAGAACATAGAACATAATGAATTCGAAAAGCTGACATTTTAAAAGAACACTGACCAATTAAAAATTCTATTATGGTTAATCATTACAAAGAAGCTGTATGGAAAGACAGCATTAAAAGGGTTAAATTATAACTATCTCAGTGCATTTATGTGAGGCAACATCAAAAGCTATCTTGATAATTACAAAAGCCATTCTACAAAAGTCTATTTGAGAATAGGAACAGTATTTCTTTCATATAAGAAGATTAACAATGAAAAAAATCCTCCAGAAATAAAATTTACTTTCTTCTTTTGAGAAAGCAACTGCTGTTATCCTTATCCATGGAATCAGTGGGGCATTATTCTGAGGAAGAAGAGTAGTACTGGGTAATACAGGAAATGGGAATGGAGAATAATGTTAGATTATTGTTGGAGGGTGTGTATGGTGTTAAACAGTGCTGCAATTTGATGGATTTGTATTAGCAGTGCCATCATGTTATCAGTATCTGATTTCTGTATTTTTATAGAGTTCTTGCAATTTTAGAATGGAATTTCAAAAATCTTTTTTATTTGGCCTAATACTTCCAATAGAGATTTTCAGTTATCTGTAACAGAAAATTGTTGACTTGAGTCACTGACAATAGAAAGATTTAGATTTGCCTAAAACACCAGATTCATTTAATGTTTTGGATGTTTATATTATTTTTAAGAATATCAAATTTTGTTAATAGTCTCAGCATCTTCAGCATGGTCCCAGGAAGCCTGAAACATACAGAATTACGAAACCGTTTATGAAAATGTGTCCCAAATAGTCTAACATTCAAACATGTTTTTAAATATCAATATCTTTACCATTTGCATCCCAGATTCTGTATGATTATTCATACACTGAATTTTACAAAATATTTTCACAGCAAATTAATTAATTTATATATATACATATATATATACATACATATATACACATCTCCTGCTATATTACATGCACACACACACACTATTATATTACAGCTTTTAGGAAATGGAATAATTTTTTTCATGAGACTTATCTTTTTGTCAAATTAGAATACAGTTTCCTAAATTTTATTTCAAAAGTCATCTTAACAGGACTGTTGGGCTATATAAGGGACTGCTGGGGGTTCAGTAGTTGCTTTTGATTTCAAGGTTGACCAGTGAAAACAAAACCTTATTAACACTTACAAAATGTTTCCCTGTTCACTGGAGGAGACATGCTGCTGTGAGCCTCCTACTAAGAACTTATGCATCTCTGTGTTTGGGAAGGATAAAAAGTATTGGAGGCAGAAACAGTAAACAGAGGTGCTTCTGGAAAATACCTGGTGAAAATAGTTAGAAATGATCAACTGAGGTGTTGCAAAGAAAGTCAGAGTCCTAAGAATATATGATTAATATTATCCATATTGACATTATCCCTAATTCTGGAATAAAACCCAGTTTTCTTCATTGCAAGATATAAATAAAATATAATTAATTTTGTAGACAGATACTACTTAATCAGTGTTAACATGATGTGCCAATCATAGATTAAAAACAAACAAAAAAAAGAGTTTTGTATTAAATTCCAATGGAGATCAAGATCCCTGCTGTAAACATTTAAGATATTTTATATCCTTAGCCACAGTCCTCGAAAGAGCTTCTGGTAGAAATAAAATGTCTCCAGAGTTTTGCGACATTATGGCAACAGCCTTTCAGATCCCTCAGGGCATCATATAGTTGGTACTCTGCTTTTGTGTGAAAAGATCTTAATAAAATTCAAACAGCATGAAATGGAAAGTCTGGAAAAAATGATGGGGTTTCAGAAAACTGAAGGAAAATATGATCTTTTTGTTGGTTTCAGCGGATGAAAAAATCCTACAGGGATAAAAACAAGGAAGCAGACAATGGGGCATGATTAGCATTCAGGACTTAGCTGTATGTTTTCAGCACGCAAACCCCAACCCACCACTGCTGCCGATCAGAGTAGGGTCTGTAGCGCCTGTGTGAGCCCTGGTGGCGGCAATGGTGTGGGCTGTGGCACTGCCCTGGCACCTGACCCACCACACGGGACCGTGCTGCAGAGCCCTGTTTCCCAACCTCAACAGGTGGCTGTGGTGGGCATGTCATGCCAACATTGGAAAGCTGCTGATGGTAGCCATCTCCTGTGGGCTCCCCTGGCTAAGTACTGATGATGTGCACACAGCTGCTCAAAATCAGAGGTGGAGGAAAATTATGGGTATCATTTTTTAAAGTGCTGAATTCCCCTAACTCGCTTTTAAGTTTAACAGGACTTAAAGCCTCCCAGAATGAAGCGTTGCTATCTGGCACATTTGAGCCAGGCAAAAGCAGCAAAAATTGTTAGCATAAACCTTTCTTTCATCTGTATAAACTTATTATTATTAATCTGTCTCCCAAGGAAATTAATCCCTTTGCCAAAGTGAAGTTTTCCTGTTCAGGTCCTCAGAACAGTATTCCTTTGATCAGATGAAAATCTGAGTTTAGACCTTCTAGTCTAGTCTATTCTAGTCCAGTCTAGTGTTGTCTTGTCTTTTCTCTGTTCTATTCTATTCCAGTTACAAACCAAGATCAGTAGCATCATGAGGATTAGTCTCAGTCTTTCTAGAACAAGGAAACATAGACTAAAATAGAAGCATTCCTAAGTATGATGGATATGGGGACAATGAAGGGGGTAAGTGTGCTCTCCTAAGCTTAAGGGTTTGTTGCAAAAGCAGAGGACCTTTACTTACCTGGTCAACAGGAATGGACAAGCCCATGAGCTGAAACAAGACTTCTTAGAATCATAGAATCATAGAATTAACTGGGTTGGAAGAGACCTCCGAGATCATCAAGTCCAACCCTTGATCCAACCCCATTGTAATTACTAGATCATGGCACTCAGTGCCACATCCAGCCTCATCTTAAAAACCTCCAGGGATGGTGAATCCACCACCTCTCTGGGCAGGCCATTCCAATGCCTGATCACTCTCTCTGTAAAGAACTTCTTTCTAATATCCAACCCTGGCAGAGCTTAAGCCCATGCCCTCTTGTCCTACTGCTGATTGCCTGGGAGAAGAGAACGACCCCCACCTGGCTACAACCTCCTTTCAGGGAGTTGTAAAGAGTGATGAGGTCACCCCTGAGCCTCCTCTTCTCCAGACTAAAAAACTCCAGCTCCCTCAGCCTCTCCTCATAGGACTTGTGTTCAAGTCCCTTCACCAGCCTGGTTGCTCTTCTCTGGACCTGCTCCAGCACCTCAATGTCTTTCCTGAACTGAGGGGCCCAGAACTGAACACAATACTCCAGGTGTGACCTCACCAACGCAGAGTACAGGGGAAGGATCACTTCCCTGCTCCTGCTGGCCACACTGTTCTTGATGCAGGCCAGGATGCCATTGGCCTTCTTGGCCACCTGGGCACACTGCTGGCTCATGTTCAGCTTCCTGTCAATCAGCACCCCCAGATCCCTTTCCAGTTGGCTGTTCTGTTCTATTTATAGTCAAAACATAGTCAGTAAACCAAAACCCCATTTTCTCTACAGCCCTCTTGGATGCCAGATAACCGTCCACATAAAGCTACAATTTCAGGTTTAGCCATGCTAATGTGTTGTTTTATTACCAAAAAAAAAAAAAGAAATAATTGTGAGGAAATTCAAATTTCTCTATGTTCAAAGAACATAAGGTGGATCAGTTCCCAATTTAATAGCATTTCATAACTTTTACATGCCCTAAAATCACTTAAGAGAAAAGGCAGGACAAAGGTGTGGACCTCTTATTTTCCTGTACTGTCACAGTTAAGCAGTGCAGCTCTACCAACTCAGTATGACCTTCACTGTCAAAAAAAGTCATTGATTTTGTACAGTTTAATTTTTTTATGAGAGACTTACAGACTGCGGGGGCTTGAAAAATGCTGATCCATTTCTGTGTTTTTCAGCTTTAAAACAGCGATGTCATTAACCTATCCTTTAGGATATTTAAGGATTCATTGCATTAAAATGTATGAAGTGCTTTGACTGAAATAGGAAAGGGCATTTTTTTTGCCTGTATTATTACAGAGTGATATAACAATGACACCAGTAGATAAACAGTGTTGCAAATAATTGCAATTTTTAAAATTCTTAAAATGCTGCAACAGCTTTTCACAACCATCATTGTTAGTAGATCTGGCTCAAGAGCCAGGAGAAGGAATAGGGATAAGGTGAGATCTAAGCTTGTGGCCTAGGACAACCTGGATTCAGAGATCAACAGTGAAAGCTCTTGCTTTTATTCAAGAAAGAATTCCTCTTCAAGTCAAAGAGGTTTTCCCACCACTATTGTCAGATTTTTTTAACATTTACCAAATTCACATAATGGTTTCCCACTGCCTCTGCTCACTATATAACTTTAGTCTTTTAGATCAGAATCAATTCTGATTGTAGAAATTCCCTTCAAAAAGGAAACTTTGTTGACTTGACTTGACCACTATTTAAAACCAGCACTTTTTGATGAATAGAAGTTCATGCTACCATGCCATGATTGAAGTGTTTTAAAAGTTTCATAGTGCAATATTCAGAAAACTGCATGAGAGGAGAAGAATTTGACATCTCAGCTTCATTTCAGTATTTTGGTTAAGGATAAAATGCATTTTCACGATAATGAAGGTTGTCTGAAAACTGAGGTGCCAAGAAAAATTA